CAATGCAGCTCGCGCAACAGCGGTGTTATATGTGCCCTCCTAGGGGCATTGAGAACTGTCCACATCGCCGCATTCTGCACCAGCTGGAGCTTCCAGGTACTCTTCAAGGGTAGCCCCATGTAGATCGCGTTGCACTAGTCCAACCCAGAGATGACCAGGGCATGGGTTGAAGTCCACCCACCTTAAAGTTGCTGAGGTTGAGAAACACTGCTCTACACCCTTTGTTTTATGGCCCTTCCTGGCTCTGGGTCCCATGGATACAAAAAGGGATCCTTGTGTGTGCGCTCGCTCTCCTTCCTTCCTTCCTTCCTTCCTTCCTTCCTTCCTTCCTTCCTTCCTTCCTTCCTTCCCTTGGTTACTTAGGGCCTGGAGGGGATGGAGACATGGAGGCTGTAACAGGATTTGTGTGCAGTGAAAGTGGACAAGTGCCTTGGAGGGGTGGGGAGTGGCATGGGCTAGGAGGGGCAGAATCTGGCCAGGGGGTCACAAAATGCCATTGCCTGGTCCTTGGCACTAGCTAGATGCAGTTCTCTGAACCAAAGTCTTTCTGGCAGATTGCAGTTTAAATCGGTCCTTCGTTTTTCAGAAATAGGCCACCCCAAATGCCCTGCTTCCAAATCAAGGAGGGGCCGCAGCTCACTGGCAGCTGGGGATCTCCCCTGAACTTCAGGCCTGGGCATCTCCCAGGAACTAGTGTAGACGCGGGAGAGCCCCGCTCGTCAGAGCAGACGATGCTTGGATAAGGCAGATTCTTCTGGCCACTTGATCTGCCTTCTTCCAAAGAACTGTAGCTTTTTTTTTTTTTTAATACATCTGTGTTTTACGGGGTTTTTTCTTTCTGCCCTGGAAGAATTCCATGAATTTTTAACAGCAGCTTTAACTTTAATTTTTAACAACAACTTTAAGATAGGCTGAGGCTGTTGCAAGATTTAGACCCCAAACCAGTGTTTCTCAACCTTGACAACTTTAAGATGTGTGGACTTCAACTCCCAGAATTCCCCAGCATGGCTGGCTGGGGAATTCTCGGAGTTAAAGTCCACACATCTTAAAGATGCCAAGGTTGAGAAACACTGCTCCAAACAATACAGTAAGAAAAATTCATGGAATTACTCCCCGTGAGTGCCAGGTCTGGGCTGGGCTCAGAGTCAAAACGTTCAGGGCAGATTCTCCTTCCACGTCCAACTTCTCAACTTCCCTCGCTTGCATCCCCGAGAGCGCCACGGCCAAAGACGGCTTTGGCACATCATCTTCTTGCAGTGCCTCTGGGAGTTTGGGCTTTTCCTTTGTGTCTCAAATAACTCCCCGGCAGATCTCGGCAGACCAGCCACGCTTTTTTGGCCGGGAGGCCCCGTCTTCCTCCTCTCTCCTTGCAGCCTTATTTGGAACTCAGGCTGGGCCAGGCTGGGGGGGAGCCAGTCCCCCCGCAGGCGCTTTCTGCAAGAAGCTGATTGATTAGCCCCTCATCTCTTCCCTCTCGGCCTGCACTTCTTTCATGCATCAGAGGTTGGGCTTTGTCAGTGGAAAAGTTTCTTTGAAAGTGGACAGATGGGTGCTCACGGTCATTGGCTGCTGGGGTGGCGATGTGGGTGTCTCCTAAGGCTGGGGAGACACTTCTAGGGATGGGCCAACCCTCCAGCTTTTGTTCACCCAAGAAAGGACGCTGCATTTGAGCAGCGGTGCAGCTGCAGCACTTAAATGACTAGTTAGATTAGTCGGGCAAAGAGTTTTAGTAGGATGGAGCCTACCTTCTAAATCACAAGCAGGACATCAGAGGCACCCTTTATGCACAGAGAACTAATTCTCCAAGGGTGGGTCTTTCTGTAACCAAAGCTGTGGTGTGCGTGGACAATGGGGAGAAACAGGCAGGGTATGCAGAAGTAGAAAAAAGCTTTTTAAAACTGCACACACATACACACACACTGCACACACTTGGTAGGTGCAGAATGCTGCTTTGTGGGAGATGAAGCCGCCTGTTCCCCACACCTGGACAAGACTGCTGCTCACTGAGACACTTTATTGCAGGACTCACCTGTCCTTTCATCAGCCCCTGGGCCAGTGTTTTTCAACCTTGGCCACTGGAAGATGTGTGCACTTCAACTC